GTCTGAAAAGCGAGGTGTGCTCTGATTGGCCAGCTATCCAGTGCATTGTGATTGGCCGAATACCTCAAGCATGTGACGGAAATGTTACGCCCCTTACCATATTGTGATGCCGTGTCCCGCCAGAGCAATGAGACAAAAACATTAAAACCCACTATAAACCAGGCATTTGTTGCATCCAGTGGGTACATAATTACGGATTATAATGATTTATACTGTCTTTTTACGCTTTGCATCACGCCGCGTAAACATAAAACCATGTCTGCATTTGTGATCAGAGAAATGACAAACAACAAGTGCTACTCTACACTGCTCAAAACTCGCGTTTGAATCGTCCGTCAGTGGCAAATTCTTTATATATAAAAAACGTACTTACAGTCTGTGAGTCAGAACAGCCGGCATTGTAGTCTACTCTTCCAGGAAACAGTCCTCCATAAAATGTGCTGCACACATCTGAATATTTGGGTTAAACTGTTCTGGAACAGTGTTGTAAATACAACTTAACCACTGATTTCTAGTCGTGTCCTCTTTTGGAAGGCCAAACAAAGTAGTTTCGCTTTCACAACGAAACAGCGTCACACACCGCGGACTTGAGTGAGCGGCGGCTGGAGGCCTTGAGTGAGCGGAGGCTGGCGGGCTTGAGAACGGCGCGGCCGGCGGATTCGACGAAGGAGCGTCCGGAGGGCTTGCGGCAACCACATGTGACGACCCCAGGCTGGACTCCGCTTCGTCCACGGTGAAAGCCGATCCGGCGATCCGCAGCGCGAAGTTGATGTATTTTCCTCAGCTACCAGCACGGATCAGCTCCAGGCATAAGGAAGCGATATCGTCCTCATTTGGAAGGCCAAACAAAGTAGTTTCGCTTTCACAACGAAACACACAGCGTCTTCACGACATGGCGGCAGCAACAATACTACAGCGAGAATAAAAGTTACGCCTTCTTTCTTTGTGTGAACATTTGGGCGGTGTTATGCAAATATTCCCACATCGTGACGTAGACGTAGGGGCGTGTTAGAACGAGCCGTTTTAGGTAGGCGTGGCTGACTCTTAACTTTTATAAAGAATATCTCTTTGGATTTGAGACTTTAGTCTTTGCAACTTTACAGATCTTCTTTATGCACCAGGAGCTTGTAATACTTCAAAGAGAAAGGAAAAATTGAAATCGCATCATATGACTCCTTTAAAATATTCAATTAAATGCCCTGATTGGTCAATATTCAGATTATAAGAAATCAGAGTAAAACAGCTTGCATGCCTCTGTTAACCCTGTAAAGCCTGACAGCCTGGTTTTTATTGTGGGGTGAGAAACATATAATGCAATGCAATACAATGGTGATTGAGAGATCAAATAGTTCATCATAGTTCATACATTTTAACATGATTTTTCTAAAAAAAATAAAATAAATGATAATCAAGTAAAACTAAGTTGTGTCAGTACACTAAGTGTTCATCTTGAAATATTACTAACAAAAGTTATCTTTGCGTTTACTTTATAAAAATCAGTCGATTTTACAGCTAAAATACATGTGTACCATGAACTGAAGGTGGATATTTTTACAATTACACTACAAGGGCTTTTGTTTGCTTAAAAAGGATTAACTATAGTATATAGTAGATTGTGAACAATGGGTTTTCCAGCAGTTTTGATCATGTTGATAATTTAGAGCCCTTAGAAATTTGCGTATGAAAAATGATACAGTAGGATTTATAAAGTTAAGTACTGTTTTTGCAAATCATTGTGCTTTTGTCTGTGAAGAAGATAAATGAGAATTCAGGGCTTAAAAACCTCACGAAAATCTCATTTCAGAATAAAGGCTTAATCAGAATACTGACCTTAATCAGAAAATGATGTGCATATAAACATGGTCAGATTTTCTTGTTTTATTTTCCTATCTCCCACAGTGGCAGTTCAGATTCCCACAGTGTCATTTTCAGAGTCAGAGCAGAACATAAGCGCCCTGCAAGAGTTTGACCTGCTACTGAGGAGGGGTGAGAAACCGATGATTTATGGATTATTTTTGCATGCTTACATGTGAAAGATGGTGTCATTAAAGATGGTTAATAATGAATTATTTCTTTCTCAGTCTTCCCTAAGATCTTTTCATCCAGCTTGGTCCAACATGAGATGGTGGGAAACTACAGCCACCTGTTGACGGTATCAGGAAGCGAGCCTGATCTGGAGCCCTACATGCTGCTGGCACACATTGATGTTGTGCCGGCCGATGAGGCGGATGGATGGGATGCTCCTCCTTTCTCTGCTCAAGAGCTCAATGGCTTCATTTATGGACGAGGAACCATTGACAATAAACAGTCTGTGATGGTACAGTGAATCAGCACTGAATCACTTTTCACTGAAACAATGGCACATCTGTTCAGTCCAACCTGATGCTAACTGTAATTATGTGTGTTTTGCAGGGGATCCTTCAGGCGTTGGAATACCTGCTGGAACGAGGTTACACTCCTCGGAGAAGCTTCTACATTGGCTTGGGTCACGATGAGGAGGTCGGTCTCAATACTAATCATAGTTTATCTGGTAATATCCCAGCAGAAATGCAGCTGTTTATTTGGTTTTCTCAGATCAGTGGCCCACAAGGTGCTGTGATTATTGTGAAGCTCCTGAAGAGTCGTGGGGTGAAGCTTCTGTATGTTTTAGATGAAGGCCTCACGATTGTGGATGGTGTGGTAGATGGCCTGATTGGACCTGCTGCCCTGTGAGACTATTGTTTTACTGCATTTTTATGATAATTTAGATATTGAACTAGTGTGTAATTTATGTCTTGTGTGTTTTTGTAGAATTGGTGTAAGTGAGAAAGGTAAGGCCACAGTAAAGCTGAGTGCCAGTACTCCTCCGGGACATTCATCCATGCCACCTAGAGAGAGTAGCATTGGCATCTTGGCTTCAGCAGTTACAAGGCAAGAAATACAATTAATATTTACTGTAATATGAAAACTGTGAACATGGTGATCTTAATAAAAAAAAAATGTTTTGCATCTCTAATGGGTCTGTTCATGGTCAACATGATCTTACTTTTTTTTTTGAAAGAGCAAGACAGAATGGAATAAACCCAATGCAAAAGCCATTACCAATGTCTATTTGGCACATTTACATAAAAAAACAACTATTATACTGTATTATAGTAAAATACCATGAACCTTCTTTGCATTTATGTTGCCATTCTACTCATTTAGTTACATTGTGGTGTAAAGTACCGATTTTCATGACAATATGAATTTTTTGTAATTAAAATTAATATTCTTATAATTATGACAGAATTTCGTATTCATAAATGTACATTTACTATTACAAAATATGGTCTTATTAAATGAAGCCAGGCTCTCCACTCTCTAAATAAACAAGCTAATTTTACTTAAGAAAAATAAAAATTGTAAGAAATATTTGTGAGCTTTATAAAGTATTTATTTGAATTATGCATTTTTCTTTTTCTTTGTTTCTGATTTTGAAGCAGTTTTATACTCATTTTTGTATAATGTTTAATTTTTAAAAATGTATTATGTTGATGTTTACTGATAAAAAATAAAAAATATTTTGAACAAACAAACAAATATGTACATACATAAAGTAATTAAGTAAGTAATTATTTGTAATTGGTTAAAAAATTTCCCAGGTTGGAGAAGAACCGGTTGCCCAATCTTTTTGGTCATGGTCCAGAGCGTGCCACATTTGAGCATCTGGCACATAAGGTAATAAAACAAACATTATTTAAAATGCTTATGACACTCCTACAAATACTGAATTGCTTCATACTTTCTCTTTTGCCTTCTAGTTTGGCTGGCCATACAGAATGGTAATGTCTAATCTGTGGCTCTTCTCTTCGCTGCTCAGCGGGTAGGCCATGTTTTTTGCTCACTACAGAAACTAATGAGTACATGCTCTGATCTGTGGTACTTTCAAATCACATGTGCAGTGTTTTGGAAGGACAGCCTGACACAAATGCATTTGTGAGGACAACAACTGCCGTCACAATGTTTAACTCTGGTGTTAAGGTGGGCTGCCATTCACATCATTTATTTTCTGTTTATACATATATTCACAAAAAAAATACTCAGCATTAATGGAGATCCAACTGTTTCTCTCTCTCTCTCTCTCTCTCTGACAGATTAATGTAATGCCAGCATATGCTGAGGCCTTTGTCGATTTCCGCATTCACTATTCCCAGACACTGCATGAGGTGAGAGGTCAGCATTAGCACATTTACTGAAGGAAATGCCAGTGCTTGAAAGTGACATCAGCTCATATGATGAGGATACATTCGGGTACCAGATCATAAAGAAAACAGTGCATGACATTTTTCCTCAGGTCACTGTATCTCCTGGTAAGGCTTTCAGCATTGTGTCATTAAGTACTGCATGTTTGCTCTCTTTAGTAAGAGCTCAAGGGGTTTAAGTGGCCCTTACATACATCATTGACTCACGAAGAGCTACTCTCACTCTTAGTCTTGTCAACAAACCAGCTCTACGATTTCCTCTCACAGGTATCTGCGTGGGCAACACTGACAGTCGTCACTACACAGAACTGTCTCCGGACATTTATCGTTTTGCCCCATCATGGTACAAACCTGGTGATTCTGCAAGGTAGGACACACGGAAATGCTGAAGCGACATACTGGTTCATGTACTGTAAATAAAACTAATTATTAAACAGCTTATACTTCCCTTTAGATTCCATGGTGTGAATGAGAGAATCTCCATCCAGAACTACGAAGAGATTGTGCTGTTCTACTTTCAACTCATGCAGAACAGTGACATCAGAAACTTGCCGGCACCTCGCATCTAAAATAAGCAGATGCCATGCTGTGGAATTCTGTGGAAGCTTTGTTCTAGTTATTCAAAGTTTGGGGGCAGTAAGATTTTTTTTTTTAAAGAATTTAACACTTTTATTCAGCAGGATGCTTTAAATTGATCAGAAGTGACAGTAAACATTTATAATGGTACACAAGATTTCTATTTCAAATGTTCTTTTGAACTTTTCATCAAAGAATCTTGAAAAATAAAGCATTTTCCACAAAAATATTAAGCAGCACAACTGATTTCAACATTATTATAAAGAAATCTTTCTTGAGCAGCAAAACCGCATATTAAAATGATTTCAGAAGGATCATGTGACACTGAAGACTGGAGTAACACAGCCATCATTTTACATTTGAAAATATATTAAAATAGAAGTTATTTTAAATGATACTAATATTTGACTATATTACTGTTTTCATGTATTTTTGATCAAATAAATGCAGCCTTGGTGAGCACAACAGACGTCTTTCAAAAATAATAAAATATTAAAAAATATTATCAACCTCAAACTTTTAAAAATTACTGTAAATATATTTTCTTAATTTGCCTGTTAAAATGGTGTAAAATTATATAATGGATAGTAAAAAGAAAAAAAAAATCTTGATATAAATTCTTTTCTAGAGAATCTTTAGGTAGTTTTTCCCTGGTTAAGTAAACATTTTACTACATTAAAATACAAAAAAAGGTTCACTACAACATTAATGCATATTAAACAGCACTGGTTTAAAGTAGTAGTCTATATGCAGTGCTATATTATACTATAATTAAATTACATGTTTGAATAATGAGCCGAGCCTCATGTTAAGGCTATTAAATGTCTCACATTAAGTCCAGCCTTTCAGAAGGAACTCAATTTTCATGCACAAACAGTCATTTATTTACTTCCCTGTTGCTTTTTACCAGTCTCCTATTGTCTGCAATGAATCTTGTATTACCTGTCATCTATAAATATGCCCTACAGGTGATTCTTATTGTGCAAATCACATTTGCCACATAACTGAATGTTTTTCTAAATTGTAATGTGGAACAATTATGTTAATATTGTTATTATTGATTAAAGCTATTTAAAATATTTTTGTTGACTGAAATACAACATAAATAAAATATTATTTATATTTTTATTTATTTATAAATAAATATATTTATTTTAATTAAAAAAAAAAAAAAAAAACCTACGAAGCTTCCTGAAAAACTATACGCAAGTGTAATTAATAGAATAGAAGTTAATTGATAAATAAAATCTATTTATGACATTATTTTTGAAAGCATCCTCACTTTACAGCATTTTTAAAATTCTTCACAGTACTGTAGCTTTGCAGGTAAGTTTCTTGAAGCATCTTGGAGACATTGCCACAGTTCTTCTGGATTTAGTCTGTCCCATGACCCCACACTGACCTCTATGGTTTTCCCCCAACAAGATGTTGCTGAGATTTAGAGATGGGGATGTTTTCAGTGGATTCTTTATTTTATTAGAGGATGGGGGAAAAGGAGTGGAAAAATTAGAGATTTCACTCCATGTATGGATTAAACACAGGTCAAAGTTGTCTTGAATTACTCATTGGATTCAAAGGAGTCACGACAGTGTTGGAAAACAATTTTAAGGAGTAAAGTGGTTACAAACTACATTTCAGTAGAAAACTGATAAATGTCACTAACTTTTGTAATATAGTAATGCACATGTTTACCAACGGAAGCCTGTTAAAAATAAATAAATAAAAAGGCAATAGAGAATATTTCTGCTAACTTTTTTCTCATCATTTCAACCATTTCAAAATTGATGTTCTATTTAAAAAAAAAAAAGTTATTTCTTCTAATTTGCAATGATATTTTCTTAATATGTATTAAAATATTTTTGCTAAATGATACTCCTGCTAACAGCAACAAATTATGCAGTTGTCTTGTTTCATTGGTGGCATTTAATGTAAAAAAATAAAATTATTTAATTTAGAAAGCAAATAATTTATTTAGCAAGGATGCTTTAAATTGATCAGAAGTGACAGTAAACATTTATAATGGTACACAAGATTTCTATTTCAAATGTTCTTTTGAACTTTTCATCAAAGAATCTTGAAAAATAAAGCATTTTCCACAAAAATATTAAGCAGCACAACTGATTTCAACATTATTATAAAGAAATCTTTCTTGAGCAGCAAAACCGCATATTAAAATGATTTCAGAAGGATCATGTGACACTGAAGACTGGAGTAACACAGCCATCATTTTACATTTGAAAATATATTAAAATAGAAGTTATTTTAAATGATACTAATATTTGACTATATTACTGTTTTCATGTATTTTTGATCAAATAAATGCAGCCTTGGTGAGCACAACAGACGTCTTTCAAAAATAATAAAATATTAAAAAATATTATCAACCTCAAACTTTTAAAAATTACTGTAAATATATTTTCTTAATTTGCCTGTTAAAATGGTGTAAAATTATATAATGGATAGTAAAAAGAAAAAAAAAATCTTGATATAAATTCTTTTCTAGAGAATCTTTAGGTAGTTTTTCCCTGGTTAAGTAAACATTTTACTACATTAAAATACAAATCATAAGGTTACTCCATATGCCATACCAATGTAAGCGTGAATAACATTTCTTGCCTTTCATGATATTTGTCTTCATGCAAAACCACAGGGATTGAAATTATTTTTAAAGCTGTTTTAGGTTTAAAAGTTCAAAAGGGCATCTTCTGTCTGTGCAAAATACTCCCAATATTTCAGTTACTGAAAAAATAACTGTTCTTGAAAAAAATATCTGAAATGCTGTTCACTAGCTATTGTGTTAGTGCTGAGTGACTCAAGGTTAATTCTGAGGCCAGTCACAGCACACGCAGAGCTTCTTTGTGAATGAAAGACATCAAGTCAGCTGGTTTGCACGTTGTTTGTCTACACAGACCACTGCTCCTATTCACTGAATAGAAGATCTTAGGTAGCAGGTTATTGCATTTTTTATGTAATGTTTCTTGTGTATATCAGAGTTTATATTTTTGACTTTGCTCTGTCAAGCTGTCAGTGATTAATAATTCAAACATTACATAAGAAGGAGCAGTATCCAAATGTTTGTGGATCTGGCTGAGAGGATAGTTGCCCTACAGAACTAAGTTACATAGAGCAGATAAAGACTTCTTTAAAATGACAAAGCCTTTATGTACTTTATAACCTCTGTTATGTATTTTACCTTTGTCTCATTGCTGTCCTTGGTGTCAAACTCTAGTCAATAATTTCCTTGCTTGCATCGAAAGTAACCTTGAAAGGAAGCGCAGA